GACCTGACTCGAACCGGTGGTTTGAGCGCCGAACTGAATACCGTCGGCAGCCTTCCTCTGCGAAACAGATCAGTCATGTCATACAGCCCTCTATCGAACAACCATCCCGATAAAAGCATTGATCTATTTGTCCTCTGCATCAAATTGAAATAAAATGTCAAGCCACGTCCGCCGATGACCCCCGTAGTCCTGAGCGCCATAAACCCCCACCTCAACATAAAGTCACGTCTTGTTTTGTTTACTTACGTTTTATGTCCCTTTTTCTTGTTAAAGATTCTATGATAATAGATGTGTCGGTTTTGCATTCTTCCTTGGAAGGATATCCAGGATTCTTTATTGCCAGCAATATTTCTCTTCGCCTGATGTCAGTCGGGCAGCTCCGCGTCTCACGTCATGTCACGACTCTTCACTGGACGTGACCTGTGCGTCACGTTTCCGTTCATGGCACGTCACGCGCCGATTAAATTTGCCGTCGGCGCTGTGACCCGTTCCACTGCCGTCGCTGCTAGTGTCGCTGCAGACGTTTGAGGCCAATATGTGCTGGGCGCCGTGCTATGTATCGACTGCCGACTGGTCCGCACCACCTAGTCCCAATGTAGGCAGCACTGATCGTACTTAGCTGGTGTCCGTGCCACCGCCACCGACCCCTAGGGGCGGAGTGGACCAACTACTACATAGCTTACATGGAAGTTTCCGCGTACAAATGATAGTTTATCTCAGCAAGATGATGTGTTGCAAAGGAACTAACCTGCACATGTGCGAGTGGTGAACGGGCTCGGTCTGAAATGTTGTCCCGTGCGCTGAATAGCTGTATTTCCTCTGAGGTTCTTGGCAACTTTTTATTCAGACCTGCCTGCAAGGTTATATCTCCCGCACTAAAATGACAGTCTAGGGGAAGCGCGGTACAGCTAATGGGATTTATTTCTCAAAGGATTCATACATTTTGAAGATAGTGAGGAGGCATTCTGTTGTGCATTAGAGGAGTTTTGCTCCAGAGTACCGTTATTACCTATTTGTTTGCCGGCAACTGGCTTCGAGTCCATCGCTCTACTAGAGCTTGGGGTCACTAGGGAATTCTTGAGAGGAGTTTTAGGGGTCAATAAGTCCTAGTCCAAATTTTTGACGTCACTGACCACTGTTGACGTTTTTCTTTTCTTTTTGTCATCGGTTGTTTTGTCTGTATTGATCATTTTAAGCAGCAGGTCGGAGCCAGTTGATGGGACCTGATCATTGTGTTGGGTGAGGCAATTTGGTTGCTCAGTAGTCACCGCAGCGCCGGCGGCCGGTGTGTTCCGTGCCCTGCTCGGCGACTCTCAGAGGGACAGTCGGTCGGTGGCGTAGCTCGCCTCGCGCTCCGGAGGATGGCGTGACTCGCCTCGCGCTCAGGAGAGATGGTGCAGCTCGCCTGGCGCTAAGCTTATCGCCGGATGTCACCGACACTCCCCGGTCGGACAAACGACTCGGGAGCCGGCGTCGCTCAAGGACTGTGTCGTATCGTAGCCGACCACGGGCCGCGTCTCCTCGAACGGAGCCCTAACGGAAACGCGACAGAGTGGACACTACTCTTCACTCCTTGGAGTGGGTGCCTGCCTAGAGTGTCGGTGTTAGTTTTATTTCAAGGTGCCGTGGATGTAACATTGGGCAGCGCTTTTGCTGCTAAATTAACCCTCGCCCGTAAACGGTGTTTTGCCACCTTCGCCCATGCAGGGGGGGGGGGGGGTTTGGTGCGACCCCCCTGGCGTTTGAAAACGGAGCGTCGTAGAGCTTAGCGGAAAAACCAACGGATTGCTCTCAACGAGATCTCGCGATTGGTGGTATATTTTTTGGTCCTAGGTCAACATTTGACCTACTTATGACCGGTCAAAGGTCAAATTTTCGGAAAAATCTAACTTTTTCAGATTTCCGCGCCGATTGCGGCAAAACGGTAAGAGATATCGACTTGAAACCTTCACTATCGTGATCCTTGATCAATTCTCTATCGTTTGGTGTGTATTTCGATGTCATAACTCTAAAAATGATGCGTTGGGAGCATCGGAAGTCTGCAAGGTCATTTGTGAATTGGGTCACGTCAGGCGTGTGACGTCACTGACCTGACCCTGACCCAAAATGAACTACAAGAAATAACCGACGATGCCTGAAATGGATAGCAAATTCGAATTCAGGGCATCAAAATACCCCGAAAAGGCATACAAGTGCAAGAAGTCATTACAGGTCAACCGAGGTCACTGACCTGACCTTGACCTTTAGTAACCTTGAAAAGGTCAACGGACATTGTGCCAATGTCAAATCAGCCAGTTATGATTCTAAAACAATCCATCAGTGTGTCAGGTCAGTCGGCATTTATACCAATGTGAAGCAATCTCCAATTTAGCGTAAATCTGGCCGGAGGTTGTTCCCTTTATGACGTCATAACTCCGTGACCTGACATGACCTTGACAAAAAAGTACCAAAAGTTGCGCAAAGGATGCCCCATAGGGTACTGAAAATATGAGCAGGCTATCTGAAACGGTTCGGCGTGTAGCTAAGAAAAACCTCAGGGGGGGGGGGGTTGCACAGGGGCGTAGGCAGGGGGGGGGCACTGGGCCATGGCCCCCCCTTGGGCGCCGAAGGCGCCCTTTGCGATTGGAGGGCGCCGAAGGCGCCCTCCAATCGCAAATGCAATTGTGATATAATCGAATAGAAAAACAATCGCGACTGGAGGGCGCCCTCCAATCGCGAATGTGTTTACAGGGAAAATACGGATGGAGGGCGCCCTCGGAGGACGCCCATTCCAAATACGCCCTCCAAATACGGTTGGAGGGCTCCCTCGGGCGCCCTCCAACCACATTTGTAGGCTGTAGCTCTCTAAGCGTAACGGTGGTCGCCTATGTAAGCCGCTGTCCTGTAAATAAGCGCCCTCTCACCCGAAGGCGCCCTCCTGTAGGTCGCCACCCTGCTACACATTGCCGCCCTTCTGCTGATCGGTGTCCTCATAATTATTGGCGCTCTCCTACCTATTGAGCCCTCATGTGAAATTTTGAAGGCCGCCTTTCTCCCTTTTGGCACCCTCTTGTTCAGTGCCGCCCTCCTACCTATTGGTTCCCTAGTCCTTCCTGTTGAATGTTAATCGGGGCCCTTCTCCTATTGGCGCCCTCGTGTAGATCGCCGCCCTCCTAACCACTGGCACCCTCCTGTTGATCACCGCCCTCCTATCCACTGGCACCTTCCTGTTGACCAGCGCCCTCCGCACAGACGCCCTCCTGTTCGTGTCATCCTCTTGAGCAAAGGCGCCCTCCTCACCATTGCCACCCCCATTTTAATCGTCACCCTTCCGCTCATTGGCGACTTCCAGTTGATGACCGCCCTCCCACCTATTGGCGACCTCTTGTTGATCGCCACCCTCCTATTGGTGCTCTCCTGTTCCTCGCCACCCTCTTACCTGGTGGCGCCCTCCTGTTGATTGTTGATCGGCGCCCTCCTGCCTATTGGTGCCCTCCTGTTGATCGCTGCCCTTCTATCCATTGGCGCCCTCCTGCTGCTCGCCAACTTCCTACCTATCGGTGCCCTACTGTCGAAACTCGGGATGTTGATCGGGGCTCTTCTACCTATTAGTGCCCTCCTGTGGATCGCAGCCCTTCTACCTATTGGCAACATCCGTTGATCGCTGCCCTCCTATCATTTATTTACTCCTTTGGCATGTTTTTCAACTTAGTCGTTCTATTGCACATAGTTGATGTCTTGCCTGTGAAAACTGCCACAAATGAACGTGCATTCAGCACAATGAATGAAGTATCTATACCTACCAAAACTATCTACGCTCTACGATGCATAAAACACGTCTTTGGTCTTAACGGATTGATCCTACTTTACGTGCATCATGGCATCTATATGGATTACGATTAAGTATTGTCAACAGGTTCGGGCGCAACAGCAGGCATCTGAAGTTTCGGTGATTGAAACTGGTTATGTGGGTACACTGTATGCATCTGTGAGAAGGCTATGAAGGCTGGTCTGAGGTAATTTGGATGATGTTTACGCATCTCGCGCTCCGGTATCAATCCGATACGGTGATCTGGTGCGTAGATATGCCACCGCCAATAAACTTTTATACATCGACACCCATGAGCCAAGCTTTCTGTACAGTTTGTGTGGCAGCGGCCCGACCAAACCTTAGGTATTTTTTACACCTTCAAATTTGGTAAAAGAGCGAGAGGAGCTTTGAACAGTGATCGTATAAAAGGCGTGCCTAAAAAGCGGAGGAAAAGGTTGTTTTCAAAAATTTCGCGCGCCTTCGGCGCAGCATTTCAAGAACACTTGACCTTTTGTGACCTGGAGTATAAGGAATACACACGATGCAAAATCAATGCAGCACGACCTATACGAGGTTACGCAAAAAAAAAACTGGTGGCATGGTAAAAAACGCCTCCCAACCCCCCAACCCCCACTGAGCGATTTTTTATCTCGCGACCGTATGGCGCCCTCCTTGGGTGAGGTGGCGCCCTCCAAACCCTTGCCCCCCCCCCTTCGCGATTTTCTAAATACGCCGCTGGGGTTGCACCAACCCCCCCCCCCCCTACATGGGCGAGGGTTAAAAATGCCTGCTACAAGTGCCTCACAGACCTTCTTTGTCGGCCAAGTAGTGAAGCATCATATTACTTATTGCAAGGGCATATAATTAAGGGCATATTATGTTACAAAGACTTCCCCTGTTAGATACCAGGCTGTTGGGAAGCAGTTGAGTGGGTTTATTTGCTCCGTCTCTTGAGCTCATCAGCTTCGTCGTTTTCCTAATAAATGCTAGGCCCTTGGTAACCCCCCTGACGGGTGCTCCCGCCTCTCGGCGTTTTCGGTTCATTGGCGTTCTGTTGTGCAGCTCGAATTTCCCTGTCTAATTGCTCTCCTCGGTCCATTTTCCAGGCCTCCGTTGGCGTTACGGGAGCGTGCTCGGTCGGCACGGGGCTGCCCCGCGGTGGGTCGGGTAGTGTTTCCCCTCTGACTCCCCCCCCCCGTTCTCCCTACAGAGTCGGACGGCGCCTTCTGCGGCAATAAGATCGTCGAGGATGGCGAGGAGTGTGACTGCGGCTTCGACGACGCCGAGTGCACTGAGAGCTGCTGCTACCCGAACCAGGTGTCCGAGTCGGACCGGCGGAGCAACGCCTCGGCAGAGGGCTGCCGTCGGCGTCAGCACACCCAGTGCAGGTGCGCACCCGCCACCCCGCCACTGCTCCTCACGCTCCTCTAATGAGCCTAGCATCGCGCTGTTCTGTGGGCGGAGATTGTGGTGTTATGATTTGTTTTAAATAGAAGGATTAGAAGTATTTAAAGTCTGTAATCCGCTATGAGAGGTAGGTGGGCAGACGAGCCAGCGGCGAGCGCCTGGTCTGGCGTATGCTTTTTGGCCTGGTTGTCTCATTATACAGAGGCCGATAGTGCTAATACGGCGCCTCGGCGCGGTGCTGCTGCTTTCCCATTAGTGTAGGATCACCGGGATCAGGTGAAGCCACCTCGCTGATGGTTCCATAAACCCTTACTCGGCAGATTCGGGGAACCCAGTGTGGCGCGCGACAAAACTGCGCAGACTTCTCAATATTCTGGACACAATCTTTATCCTGGTCCTAAAATGTAAAACACACGCCATTATGTATTCTGAGACGCGATTAGAATGGGCTTTCTGTAATCCCGAGTTCCGGTTGGTGTCAGAATGCTTGATAGCTTTGTCTGGGTTTGGGTTTGTTATCTGTAGGGTGGGTGTCGGCCTGTCGGCCCTTCGTCTCCCTACCCAAGTTCCCACTGACGTCATTTTGTTGTGCCGTTGACAGTCCGAGTGAGGGTCCGTGCTGCGACCGGCGCTGCTCGTTTGTGGCCACCTTCGAGCGGCTGCGGTGTCGCTCAGAGGACAACTGCACGTACGACTCGTACTGTGACGGCTACCGGGCCAGCTGTCCGGCGCCGCCGCCGCGACCCGATATGACCGAGTGCAACAGCGGCACCAAGGTAAGACTCGGGCAGTGGGACCGGCGGAGACGGTTCCGGCCTCTCACCGGGGCGATCCATTTGTATAACCGGAGCATGCAAGTTTCATGGAGCATACTGGAAGGCGTTGCAATACATTTGCATTATTTTCGTTTGAGTGAAACTTGCATGTTGTGTAATTGGGTCTGTCCGTCCGTCCGGGTCGGTTGGGAGCTCAGCTCCGGCAGCCAGTCCGCCGGGTCTCGTTCCATGAACTGTGGCTCCATCGCGGAGTGTATGGCTGCTCTACCCGGCCGCGGCCGCCGCTGCTCGGCCCATCAGTCACGATGCGTGGCTGCCCGTCTGGTAAGGCGGCCCCGATCGGCCCACTGCGGAGGCACTCGGCACTCGACCAACGCGCCACCCGGGCTGGTGCGGGGTGACGCGGGGCTGCAGAGCTGGGCCTGCGCTCTGACTGGGCTTAGCTTTGGTTAGCACCAGTCTGTGGCCGGGCTGACCGTTGCCAGGGCTGGCCACTCCGTCGCCCGTCCAGCGCGCGGTACGGTGTGCAGCTGACATGGTCCGATTACGGCTTTAAGAGCTTTGCTGAGGGGTGTCGTGACAAGCAACTTGTCGCGAGTGGTATTCGCATCGTAACTGCCCATAAGACAAAGTTGTGTTGCGTGCTTCAGAAAGTTTGTTAATTACACTGGCCGCAACTGCGGAGTCGACGCGAGGATTGCTTGCGAAGGGGCGTTTTCAGCTGGCTATTAAATGTAGATGTGTTTGGGCGTATGGCGTTAGCTTCGCGAATGATTTGTACATACCAAAGGATTGATAATCACGCATTTATGTAATAAGTTAATAACTGTAGTAAATATTTTAGTTTGTCGGAATCGATCGTTCAGGTCCGGTTGAAACCTTTGAAACGCTACGCTTCAGTGACATTCGCCGGCTGTTTGAAATTGGTGGTTAATATTTCATCTGGACTTATTGCATCGCTGATATTGGTGAATCTTTTCCGCTCTTACACCGACTCACCCGGATTTCGCTGATAATGTTTTATGCGACGAACCAATAGATCGCTTTTATTGACAACATATCTTCATTAGTGCGGATCCGGTGCCGCAGTTGGGGGATATTAGGTGAATTACGCGTATATTAGAGCAGCGCTTGACAAGGGCGAGTTCAACGTACCCAATTTTCTTGCTAATTTATTCAGTCCCTTGTAAACGCGAAGTTTCTTGTCGAGCTCCTTTGTGTCATACAGCCGCTATACGCTGTGCGTGATGCGTAGCTGCGTGTGCGTTTGAGTGCGCTGGGTGCGCCATTCACACTCTGGCCGATTCGTTTTCCCGGGGTCGGGGGTGTGCCTCCCTTTTCCCACTCTCTCACTCCGATAAAAGGTCGACTCAGCGTGTCCCACAGCGCTCCGGGAGCCGTGCCATGCGCGACGGACTGGCACCGGCGCTGCCTGCGTCATGCAGCCGACGCGCCAGAGCGTACCCTGATGGCGGTGCGTGGCTGCTCTAGTACCGGGCGGCTCTGGGACGGATCCCGCACCGGTGGGGAACTCCTTGTGACGGTGGTAATAAGGCCCGGGGAGCTCTGAGCCTTAGAGCCGCTGAAATCAGCCGTGAGTGTGCTGTTCGGATAAGACGGGCTCGTGTTTGGTCGTTGTGGTGCCCTTGCCTGGCCGGCAGCCGTAGTGAGATCCTGTATGGCCTTTATTTAATATCACACGGAGCTCTCGAGTCGGCCGGGCGCCATGCAGATTTTCCGTCGGAACTCGGCAATGTGGAATGGGGACTCGTGGAATTACGAGCATGAAACGCGCCGGCTGCGGGAATTTCAGTTCAATAACGGCTCGGGTCACCGTTTTAATACCGCTACATCTTGCGGCAACCAATATACGGCTTACTACAGGGTGATCGAAAAAAAGTGTCACCCCTAACTTAAAATCTACATAACTCGCGACTGGTAGGTCGGATGACTTCGCGCCAGGCAGCATCGGAAAGAGCAGGCAATTTCTTTTCAATTGAATGTATTCATGATTGTTTTCTATTCCTAATCATGTCCCCATGGGCTCAAAAACCAGTCAATGTGCGGCTTTCACGTGAAACGAAATTCACCGAACGGGATCGGACACCGCTGAACGAGAACAATGAGTATCGTAACTCAACATGACACACACCTTAAACATTACACATGGAGTGTATGTTGTTCACTGCAGACTGTTTCTCAGCTGACCTTATACTCGTTTCTCAGCTGACCTTAGACAAGGAAGACCTTATCAGATCTTCCTTGCAAACATGCGGCCTCATTATTCACAAATTCGCCGGTAACTAACGAAACATTGCGACAACCTGCACTACCGGATTATCAATTTTATGCAGCGGTAATCATGGAACAGTTAAGAAAAATGCTCACGTGAGCTGTCACGTGGGCTGTCAGATCAAAAACTCGATCAAAAGTACAAATTTGCACAACCAAACTTTTGAACACGCCAAATTGCGTCCTTAACATACTTTTTGAATAGCTACATCTTCGTTTGCGGCATAAACCATGCATATTTACATCCATTCGAAAGGAAATTGTATGCTCTTTCCAATGCTGCCTGGCGCAAAGTCGTACGACCAACCAATCGCGAGTTATATGACTTTTAAATTAGGGTGACACTTTTTTTCGATCACCCTGTAGAACTTGGGGTAGAGCATTTCGGATACCATGTGGCAGCCGCTCGTTATTTCGGAGCTGTTTGAGCACTCGCTGGTCAGACTCTCGCATAATCGGCGCCTCTGCTAAACGGGCGGTGGGTGGTGGGGTGGGCCCGTGACTTTACTGATGCCGGCGCGCCAGCCCGTGAGTTTGGAAAAGCCACAGAATGACCTCCTGCCCTTATCGAACCTCAACCAACTGCAGGTGCTTGTTTTTCTTCCTTGTTTTCCTCCCACAGCTCCCCAGAAGCATTATTCGTTGGCTTCGTTGGGCAGTTTTTGTATTCCGTCTCGCGAGTTTGCCCGCTTATCTGGGAATCCCAATGGTGTCTGGTCTCGGTTGGCACATCACTCGCTTATCCCGCTGGCTGTGACGCCCAACGTGCCTAGCGTGCGCCAGTGACCGCCGTGTTCAATCTGCCCGGCCTGCCGAAGTTCCCTGTATTCCGCTGTGCCCTACCTGTAGGAGCAGTCAGTGTGCACTGGAATCAGTCGGTTAGTGTTGATCGTCCTACCGCCCGCCGCGGCCACCGACCGACCGTGTTTGCCTGGCGAAATGAGATGAGCCGGTGTTGAGCAAAGGGACTGGGGTTACGGGGACTACCGGACATTGTCAATGTGCGAACCAGTGGGTATTTCAGGCACCGCAATAACTCTTTAGCCTTTCGCGGTGTTTGGAGGAAACCGCCCGTGAGCCTGATTCAGCAACTAGAGTCCCGTCGCGATCTCAACAGCAGGTGTCAGCTTCGAACGATTATCGGTTTGGTCCGTTAGGAATGAGGACGATCATTTACTATTCATTTACTAGGCTACAGTGGGATCTGGTAGTAGTGAATGGTTTGCCTCTAGGAGCATTGAGTAGCATTGAGTAGCATTGAGATGCATGTAGTTCTATATGTCATAATGAAAGGGTTTGCGGAATTCATTGTCTGACGTGATTACTTCGCAGGGAGTTTGACATCCTTATTATGGTTATCGTCAAACTTTCTGCATGCGGGCCTGATGTGGCACTAATGTCTAACGGCCCCTCCCTCCCACGCGGTCTTCTCCTTGATTCATTTACCTTGGTTGAGTCCATTTTTTATTAGTTCATGAATGTGACTTGTTGTTATTCTTGCGGAACTTGAGGCATACTGGCAACTAGCCAGCTCAGCTCGGACTCTAGCCGCAGAATCCAGACTTCAAAATGCTGCTGCGGAACTCGATAATTGGCTTACCCGACTGACAACTCGATGTAAAGTTTGTTCCGGTCTAATCGGACTAAATCGATGATATTCACTGAGTTTATTGGCAGCACTGGCTGGCATAGATCCAGGGCCGCGGCTCTCACGACCTTTTCTGAAATTGTCTGAATCTGCTTTGCTGTACAATGTCAGCTGTCCAATTTTCTAACTGCCAGAAAGAAGCATTGCGAGCACCTTTAAACTTCCTTAACTTTGCTGAATGTTATTGCGGCCTCACGGTCAGAGAACAAACAAGCTACCGATCTCAATTTCTGTCGCGTCCCATCCCAATTTTCTGGACATGACGGCGGCGGATGGGTCTTGAAAACAGTGAAATGTTGTGATCGATGGAAGTCGCGCAGCGGGCTGCGCTAGCCTCTCTGATCTGTCCGGTTTCCCGCGGTGATTGTTTCACAAGCCACTGCTTCCGTCGCTCGACTTCTCTGTCCGTGGTCGGATATTCGTGGCCAAATATAGAGCCTGCTCCGGCCGACCCTGTCTCGCCAGACGGATTGGCGTCGCTCTGTGCCCTGAATGGCGGTGCTAATGTGTATGTGCTCACCACTCTCACATACGCCGGGCTGGGAGGTGAGAGGTCATGCGGCAGAGGGTGAGATCTCACACCGCCAAAACAGCAGTTGAACACACTCACACTGCCCGCTAGCCCTTAGGAATATTAATTTTGTCCGGTTCTGTACCTGAATGAGATTTCAGTTTGCACGTGTGTTATCATCCTGCACATCAACAACAGGCTGCTGTTTTGAGCTCAAGCCCAGCCCAGTGGCGCTGGCTACACGGCGAACACTTATCGCTTTTTGCGTTTGTCTGGATCGACAATTTCCGTCTTTTATTGAGTTGTGAGAAATCAGTGAGCCGAACGAGACAGCGATAAGATAAAGTCAAATCGAAAGGAGACTAAGAATTCATCCAAGCGGAAACGCGAAAAGTCTTTCTTGTTAAGTGGTGAAAGGGTTGCGCTTTTCAATTCGTTCCATTCAATACTTTTGATGAAGCAAGCTGGGAAGCAAAACAGTGGCAATATACCACTAATTCCTCTGAATTTCCTAATACACGGCCGTGTATATAGACTGGATGTACTTTCGAAAATACAGATACAGATACAGACACTAGAAATATATATAACAAGAAAAGGTAATGGATTTATCCGCAGTGTGGTTCATTTATACCTCGTTTTTTCCGACTCGCTGTTCTATTTCCGTCTTCACGAGACTCATCTTTTGGCTCGGGTGGTGTGAGGGTGGCTATTCTTACGCGGGCGATACCGAGGGAGGATTTCCGCTGCCCAGCTCGTCTTTCAGCCGTGCCATCCTTCCAGTAAATGCCGGATGCATATGCGACCTCTCCGTTCGGTTCTTGTAAGGTTTGATAACATCTTGTGCGCCATTGGCGCCTTCTTAGAAAACACTTAATGTAGCTAAAAAATGTTGACTTCTGCAACCCAGCTGTTGGGGTCATTTATGTAGGGACTCTTCAAACTGATAAGCATCATGGATTGAATTAATTACCACTACAAACATATTGGTAGTTAGATCCAGTGTAGGTATCGCATCCAGCCAAATTGAACTGCCCTCTCTTTCCGTAATACACGCCTCATAAGCCACCCTTCAGGACCCCGGTGGCCAGTGTGTTGTTTGACGAACGTCGGCGCGGTATGAGGCCAACAGACGCGCTTTTCATCACAGCGGGTCGTTACAGTTGTTTTTCGCGGCCGGCCGTCACGCCGTCCATCATGGGGCGTTTATGATCCACGGTTAAACAGAAAATGTGCGCCGGTCCTCCAATATTGCGTTCAGCGCCCAGCTGAGCCTCGTGAGGCGCGTAAAAACAATGATGCTGAAAGGCGTCCTAATATATGGTTTTATGGTGATGCTTTGATGTGGCCGCATGTCCAGTGCAGGGTTAATAGTTGTAGTCATTTGGGTATTTGCGAAGATTTAACGAATAGCATAACTCATATATTGCAATGTGATAATGCTCGTACATGCCTACAATATCACGAGCCTTCAGTGGCACAAATAATCTTCGTCACGCCGCCTCATAGTGTGCAGTTTTACAGTGATACAAATAGCGTCATGCCGAAACGTGTTCACCGATCAGATTGCCTTTTTCGTAGTTGCGAATATCGATAGAATCCGAGTGTGGTGGGAATGGGTTATTCGTAGTTTCATTTGCCTCTCGTTATTAATCGCAGTCGAACGCTTCTGGCTGGATCCGCCGATGCACGGCGCCGCTTATCTAGTTGTGCTTATGACGGAACTGCGTTGTTGCGTTACGCAGCTGTTGGCCGTCATCATCAGTCCTGACAATCCGAGTGTGAACCAATGGTAGCGGAATCTGCTCTGCATATCTTCAGCTACATAGACCGGCGACTTTAGCCAGCGCCATGGGAGGGAGGGTCAGGATTCGGGAGTTTCGGAGGAGGGAGATGAGATGTCAGGAATCTCTGCTCGACACACACCTCCCCCGCCCATCTCAGCGACCAGAGCATGGGTCACGGGTCACGGCTCATCCAGCCCACACCGAATATAAATAATCCAGTCTCGCTCCCGGCTGGAGTGATAGCACGGGTCGCGTTTCACCCGGCCTGGAGATAGCACGAGTCGCGGCTCACCCGGCCTGGGGATGGCACGGGTCGCGTTTCATCCCGCCTTCTCCCGAACGGGGGATGGCACGGGTCGCGGCTCACCCGGCCTGGGGATGGCGCGGGTCGCGTTTCATCCCGCGCTCTCCCGGCCTGGAGATGGCACGGGTCACGGCTCATCCAGCCCACACTGAATATAAATTATCCAGTCTCGCTCCCGGCTGGAGTGATAGCACGGGTCGCGGCTCACCCGGCCTGGGGATGGCACGGGTCACGTTTCAGCCCCGGTTGCGGGTCGCGGCCGGGATGTGACACGGGTCGGGCCTCGTGACGTCACCTCTCGTCGGCCACCACCTATTCCCCATCGGCTGCCCGCTGATTACACGGCGGCCAGATACAGACGGGATCCGGCCGTAGTGCAACGTCTCCGACAAAATTCCCGGCAGAGGACGCGTCGCCTCATTATTAGTTTCGTTTCATTTGTGGCCTTTTTTGCTTTTGGATATAAGTGTGTCAGTTATGGTTGAAGTGGTCTATACTGCCGTCCACGCGCGCTTCGATAAAGCCAATGTTGAAATAATAACACTTTTTTTCGTTGTACTGAGGGGGGATATCACTACTTTGCTTCGCCATAGGTCCAGTACTGATGTCGTCGGTTTCGATCCCGGTGACGTCAGTGCTGTCTACATCCGGGAACTTATTGCACTTGGTTCTCATTAGAGGTGGCCATATTGTTTTGTCTCGTGACGACACATTTGCGTCATCGGGATCGAAACTGGCTGTAAACAAATCGCTCAGTGTCGCTACCTACTATATATGGCCTTGGTACTGAGCTTGGTGAGGTGATGGTAACGGAAATGCGGCTAGTGATCCTCGAGTGCAGTCAGTTCAAGGAAACCCGCTCATTACGAGCTGGCGCCGCGCAGGTCGCTGACGTCTCGACCCCTCGATGTAACGGATACGGAGCTGTGACGGTCACAGCCGATGGTCGGAGCCGATAGTCGTCGAAGCCGCCGAGGTCGGTCCGTCGGTGACGCTGTCGATCAGCGCTGACAGGGGACGGTTGGCGGCCTCTCAGGTTACGCGCTCCGTGCCATCCGCTCGTCATTACGCGCTCCGTGCCGTTCGCTCGTCATTACGCGCTCGGTGCCGTCCGCTCGGTCAGCCCTCCCACCGTCAAACGTCTGTGAGTGCTGGCGGTAGCGGCGGTTCCACTCTGCACATTTAGTCAGGCTGAGATAAAGGCGAGGCTGTCAGAGGTGGGGAGAGATGAGTGGTCTCAGCTCGTCCGAGTTATCCACAAGAGTGGTGATATACGAGGGGGTATCGAAAAGTTCTGATCATCACATAGAAGATATAGACCGATTTTGATGATTTTTGGTTGGTATTATATTTGGTTCTTAAGAACAATGTTCCCGCAAAGAAAATCCTGAGAAGTGGTTTTATCTTATGTAGGAGAGACTTAGAAGTAAAAAAGATGAGTATTGGGCCCATTGGGGACCGAACCGTCATCCAAGTAATGTATTTGAAACGGTATCAGACTGAGAAAATACATCAAGAACGTGAAATTAGTTTATGGCGAGGGAAGCCCATCTCATGCACTTACCGAAATGAAGAAATAATTTTCAACTTGGTTGCATGGCCCTTGCAGGAGAGTCAAGAAGTGAGTGACTACCAGTGACTGACAAGGTGATGACTGTGAAGGAAGTGGAGGATCTCACCCTTACAGATCGTCGGGTGACCTTTCATATGATTGTGCAACAGAAAGGTTTCAATGCTGGCAGCGCCTGAAAATATTATCAGCGAAGAACTGCAGACGATAAAGGAGTCAGCCTGCTTAGAAGTTCGTGTGTCTACTTTGTTCAAGAGAAAAATGCGTCTTGGCCTTTCGAAATGAAAACTAGGCCTTTTTTAGGAAATTGAAGACATCTTCGATCATTTGATGACTTGTGACGAATGCTGGATCTATGTGTATGATCCAGAGACAAAAAGATGATCAAGAAGTTTAAGCACGGCACATCTGTCCTTCTCAAAAGGTGAAGATGCAGAAGCCGATATGGAAGGTCAATGCTATCAGTGTTCTGGATCTGGCGTAGGATAGTCATTACCGACTGTCTTGATGATGGTCGGATATTGATAAGCAAGCACTACTGCACACTTTTGAAGACGTTTTGAGATGGCCTTAAGCAGAATCGCCGCAAAAAAGCCCAAGAAAGATGTTTTATCCGCACTGACAGCGCCCCCGCCCAGTCGTCCTGAGCTGCGATTGAAGAAACAACATGTGATGTGGACATTAAATCCTACCGCATCTAAGAAATTCACCTGACCGGGTATTAACTGACTCTTGATTGTTGCGGGAGATGAAGAATCCACAGTATGGCCGGTGATTTAAGGACAGAAATGACGTCATTGATCAGGCGGAGCAGTGATTTACGGGACAGTGCGAGGGTCCTACAATGACCGCCTGAGGCAGCTCAAGAAACGATGCAATAAGTTTGCGGTCGTGTGTGGTGACTAGTGAAGGAGCAATGAACATCATGTAAAAAAATCAAATTTCTATCACATCTAATTCATGGTGATGATCAGAACTTTTCGATACCCCCTCGTACCCATGCAATATGTTTCTGAAGAAAACCAGTGTTGCCCGGTTACTATAAGACACGCTCTCATTCTTTTCTCTATGAGCAGTCTTTCACCATGAATGCTGGGTCGGAGTCACACCTCGGACTGCCTTGTGACCTGGTCGTGTAAGCGCACAGCGTGCTGCCGACAGGAATGTCTCATATGTTCGTCTGTTGACGCCTGGCTGCAGCTGGTTTGCCGGGAATTGTGTGCTGGCCAGCACGTGCCCACCGCGTGGCACTGTCGCACATACTACATGCACATCCATCAGCTACCCAGCGGGGTGTGCCGACCCGTCACACAACGGAGGTGCCTGTCTAATTGTCCCACTTCTACTCTTACGATGGTGCCCAGTTGTCAGTGTTTTTATGTCTGACTAGCAACTCCATTTTCGATGGATACCTGACCTGGCTTGCGGCTATACGCAACACCGTGACTTTCCATCCCTCTCATCATCAACCAGAGGCTAGGTGTCAGCTGCCTGTCCGTGTCCCTTGAGTTGGCCATTGCTAACGCTGCTCTATCTTGGGTTCTTACGTCAACGTGTGTTCTGCCGTGTCCCCTAAACTGCCAGTGCGACAGGCTCTGGGTGCATCTATGTCCCCCGTGTCCTAAGATGCATGTCCGGCTGTCTCCCGTCCCGCTGTGTGCCAAAGGCGCGTGTCCGGCGGCCGCTGACGCTCTGCCCCGCCCCATACACAGGTGTGTCTCTCCGGCGAGTGCACGGGCTCCATCTGTCTGAAGCACGGCCTCAAGGAGTGTTTCCTGACGTCCGATGTGATCGAGGACCGCGGCAAGCTGTGCGAGGTGGCCTGTCAGCGAGGCGACAACACCAGCACGTGTCGCAGCAGCAGTGAGCTCGGTCTCGGCGGCGGACAGGGCATCTACATGACGGCCGGCGCCGCCTGCGACAACTTCCAGGTGAGGGAGAGGGAGAGAGGGAGGGGAAGGGAGAGACAGAGACAGAGACAGAGATGAAAGGAGGAGAGAGAGCTGATGAATGTCTGCTGGCTCGGATCATAAAAACGAACTCCACTCTTGCTCATGTGTTTTCCAGTTTAAGAAAATCAGTTTTGCTTGCATTTTTTTGTGTCATTTAGGTTTGAGTTGCTCAAACTTTCACAATTTCTACTTTAATTAATTTGATCACTTTTATTAATTTGATTTCCACTTATATTAATTTGATTTCCACTTTTATTAATTTGATTTCCACTTTTATTAATTTGATCGGGGGCTGTTAGGATTCTGCTGTCATGCAGCTCCTGCACTGAAGTAACATCTAACTGTAGGATTTTTTATACTCCGAGTTGAGAACTCTGCTGTTATGCCGACATTTACCGCTCCTCCGCCTGCTACCCGCAAGGGAACCCATCGATCAATGAAGCGGCGTGATTTTATCAACTTTGTTGTGTCTGCGGGGGCGTTTTTATCCATTACAGACGCGTTAGAGCGGTAGCGTAAAGGCTTTTACCGGTAAATGGGTCTATTTGTCGTGCTGCCATCTTGCGATGGAGCTGTTACAAAAAAATGTGCTCCTAATATGCAGCCATCGTTCCTAGAACCCAAACATCATCATCGTATGCCCATCTCCGTGGCAGGCTAACGAAGAACGAGAGTGAGCCAGGTCGGTTACCGACTGAAAATGCGCGAGTCGTGAATGTTTGGGGAGATAGCTGACGGATATTCGTCATTTATTGATAGACGGATATTCTAAAATAACTTAATAAGTGAAAATAAGTGTAGAATGTTTAAGCGTTGATGTTCCACTCAGTTCTGGCGCCCTCAAATCACAAAGATCATCATTATCGGGCATTGCTGCGGTTTAACTTAAAACTGAGGTAAAGCAAAAATATGCTGCGTGCGTGCAGTTGTGGTATATAATTGTTCCTTTCGCCATATGTACTCCCTTCCAGAGCAACGCGACTCTACAGCCTGCCACAGTGGTCCCATCCACAAAATTATAGTCGTTAGTCGGACTTTTGCATGCCATTTATATCGCGCTAATGGGAAGGATCCTCATTTCAATCATCAATCTTTGGGACAGCCATGGGCTCATCAATTCAAAAGTAAATTAGTCTTTTATAGCTAGCAGTTTTAATATTTGAAAATTAGTCTTTTGTGGTGGCCCAAGCTCGATCAATGCTTTGCAGATCGTGACAGGCAGATTTTTTCCTGGATTAATTTCTTCTTTATCAATATACTCGTGCGAAGCTTATGTGTATTTGAACTGACCACGTTTTGCTAATGAAGCGAATTTGAGGCCTCGTCGAATTTCATCGTGAGATGAGCGGCAGCTTAGTTACGTGTTTTAGGGTTCTCTAAACGAACGGAAAGCTTCGGATCAGCCGCTGGTAACTGCGCATTGGTTTAAAATGCGAATATACTTAATTGCGAATGCGAATATGCTTGCCTTTCATGTTTCCTGGCAGGGTTCTTAACTACATAATGCACATACCTACTACCTATGCTTTTACATTAAAAAATGGACATCAAACTTGATAACAATCATGCAGTCGTATGCTTACCATTAGGATGAATATTGTTCACTAAATGCTGGCTCGTAAATATCTCAGCAGACTCGGATAATGTGATAAGCGTTCCGTGACAGTTGGCCGGGGTGACATTGTTATTAGTTTCAGCTGGGCCGCTGCTACGCGGCTCTAATGAGGAAATCGATAATCATTTCCAACATTGGCTTCTTTGCTGACAGCTCTATTATCAAAGTTTGATGTGTTTTAGTACCCCTGTCCTTATCAGTGGCGCTGTATGATTGATACCGCTGTTTTGAACCAGTGCTTAAATTCAGATGAGTGCTCCCGCAAAATTCCCTTTCCTAACCCGTCTGGTCATTCACTGTCCAGTTGTGTCCTATTCAACCTAGCCTTGCCATGCTTTACCCGGCCCTGGCCTTCTCTGCTCTAACCTTCTTTTCTGTGACCTGCCCTTTTTGTCGTGTCCTCACCTAACTTGTCCTTCCTTGACATCCTTGACATGACCTACCGTTTTTTACCTTGACCTGCCGTAGCGTCAACTAACCATAGTTACGTACCACCTGTGTCGGCAGGGCTACTGTGACGTGTTTCTCAAGTGTCGCCGGGTGGACGCGGAAGGCCCGCTGGTGCAGCTGAAGAACCTGCTGTTCTCGGAACAGACGCTGATGACCATCGTAGAGTGGGTGACGGTGAGTGACGTCATCCCCCCACCCCCTGGGTCGCTGACAGGGACAGAGCCTACCAGATGGGTGGGTGTGGTGATTGCATGTACTGCTCGGCAGTTACATGTTTTTTTTTTCCTAGTGCATAGCTATGCGTCTGTAGGTGCGTGTAATGTGTTGCCGTCACCCACTCATGCCGTCTGTGTACGCTTTTTGGTCTGTATACGCCTGTTGGTCTGTATACGCCTGTTGGTCTGTATGCGCCTGTCTGTTGGTCTGTGTCACCTGTTGGTCTGTGTCACCTGTTGCCTCTCCACGCGAACAGCATCTGTTGTCAATCTGAGCACACTGTCTGTCGTCTGTTCGCCGTCCGGCTCCCCGGGGAATGTCACTGCGCTGGTCAGCAATGGGCCTCGGCCTGGCTGCCCGGGGCCTCGGACTGGCCGCCGGCGGCGCCCCCCGGGTAGTAATAATCGCACGGGCGGAACCAGTGCCGAGCCGCCGCCGCCGCGCTGATTGATGAAGCGAATTGCCAGCCGACGGCTCACTGAAAAATCTACGGCGGCAATCTGGTGCGCGGCACGGCCGGCACGCCACGGCCGCACGTTGTTTATGGCTGGAGGTTTACCGAGAGTGGCGCCGGACCGAGCGGGTTACGTGCCACGCGAGCAGCGGTCGCCGCCGGCTAACAAATGTAATGATTCGGTAGATGGATTGGCTGCGTTGGGTTAAGCTTCTCGGTTGGATTCGCAGAATCGAAGCAGGGCTATATGACTTGTTCGTTGAGTGTTTTTTTCGGCTTGGACGTAATTTAGGTGCTCATCCATCCACACCGCCTCGTGGTGTTTCTTATTCATAGTTTCATTTATTGGTTGGTTGTACCGCAGTTTGTGCAGTTGCCCTGACAACGGAAGTCGTCTTCGGACTGCCCTTTGTACCATTTCCCGCCAAATTGTGCGGCGTGATGCTCAAGTTACCCAGTAGCCTCGGAACCGATTGCCTATTCCGCCGAGCACAATTTGGAAACATATTTTGTCGAGCTCGGCTTGGTAACGTATTCCGTCGAGGTCACCCTATTCCGTTGTGCCCGGCTCAGTTATTTTTCCGTCTCGCACCACCGGCGTCATCCACTGCTGCCCTTCTCGTCCCTCCGCCGAGCGGCGCCTGCCCCACATGTCGGTGCTGCCCTGTCGGACAGCGGCCCCGTCAGCTGGAGCCGCCTTGTCGGCTGGAGCTGCTGTCTGTCGGTCCGACGCACTGTGTGCGCCGCCGAGTGTTATTGCAGCTCTCCGGATGACGGCTGCGCCGCGCCACTGTTGTCTCAACACTCCAGCCGTTGACCTAAGTGGAATTTGAGCGGCGCCCGGAGTATGGTGATCGCCGTTTTGCGCTGGTTCACTCCTGGACTTGGAATAGGTGACTCACTTGTGGGTGCGATTTTTAATAGTTTGCGGCAAGGGCACTGGCCCCGGGAAAAAAATATGATATTGATTTTTTGTTAGCCATGTACGAGAATGCGTCACCCATCATTTCCATCGACGTTGAAAAATCTTTTTATTTTTATTTTTAAGCCGGTCTGTACACAGCATGCTTTATTATTAGTGACTGTCGCACTCAAACAGAGTGCACTGTTGTTGCCATTTATGCGTTTCGACAAGCTACGTAATTGTCGTGAGTCCTAAACATTGTCATAGCTCACCCTGTTTCCGTCACCAGAACTTAAGTTTGACGACTCTCGGGTGTTACTTAGTTCTGATATTGGGATATTGGGTCGACGCGCGACACGAGAATGCAGCGCCTAGGACGTGTTCGACGCTGTTTGTATCGGATTTGTGGTATTTTCCTCTACGCGGATTTGCTTAACGGGCCTTCAACTGGAGTGGCACTTTGCAAGGCGGCGTAAAGTTGTAAATGCACAGTGTCGAGACCTCGGCACCTGCGTTTGTTGAGCTCTGTTTGTATTTCTGTGTAGCTAGCCAGTGTGGCGCGGTTACGAACAAAACAAGCGTCCTGGCGAGCCCAGTGTGCAGACGGTGCAGACTGAACCGACCACGTAACGCTAGACACGGTTATTCTTCCATTAGTTTTTGTTTTCGTATAATGTGATACTGGTTGTCATTGATGCATGCAATATGTGTAGACAAGTAATTGCATTCCATTGGCGCATTGTCCTATAAAATGTTATCGTGGATACTCGCTTGCTCTACAGGGTGTCTCAAAAGTTCGTATACACATTTCCCATGCCCATAAAGCATATAAGAACCGGCCAAAAATCTAAGGTTTTTGTGTCTGTGTGCACACTAGGCAAATATGCATGCTTTGACAACTGATTAGGGAGGTTGGAAATCAAACCCTTTGCTGTATCTCCAAAAATATTTGCCCATACCGATTTTCGTCGCTCCGTCAGCTGCCGGAGGCTGATAAAAGGTTACCAGCTTTCAAGCTCTTGTAAGGGAATCCCCTGCAGTTTCTGCGTCGGAATTAGGTTTGACGAGCTCCCCGGCAACATACACTTCTCCCTGAAAGCCGACAGCGTGCATCGACACCATCCGTGAGTATTTTGTAGGTCTTCTCTGGCGCTAACTCCTTCATGAATGACTGGCGCCGACCTCCCAAGCACCATTTTCCTTTTCAAAACAACCCCATTCCTGAACAAATGGGAAGTGCCAGGGGAAAATTTTTCGCAGCATATCGTAGAAGAATGTGTCGGCCATCTGTTTCTTAGACACATTGTGCAAATTTTGCAAATCCCAAACGCTCCTCATTCCCCATGCGAAGACCTTCGCTGGGTTGCGGAGTGTTTTCCTCAGGAGAGGTTCTGGTTTGTAAACGGTCAAAACCTGTCCATCGTGTGGTTTTGTCGGGATTTTGTGTCTAAAAGGAAGCTATTCGCTCCAGATCTGCCTCTTGAAACTTCGTAAGATAAAACTTTACATTAATTGACGCTTTTGGAGGGTCAGTTGTCCTTGGTATTGATGATTTTCGTGTTATTTCCCCCAAAAATTTAGCGTTCTAGATATTATAAACAATTTCAAATGATACTTTGTCTTTATTTTACGATGACCTGCAATTTTTTAAACTCTGTCTGTGAGCTTCTTGTCAGTTTTCAATAGCCTTCATTTTCAGCTGCTTTCCGGAGCACGAGTCTGCTGCCGTACGAGGGTCGTTCAAAACGCTGTTAGTCTCGCATGGTTTTGTCCTTCAAAAATTTTAGCCACCGTTTTTATTAGATGATCATCATGTTGTACTCATCCTCGCCGACACTTTGTCATGTGTCATTTCCGACTTAACCATTCCCATTACTCCTGAAACAGAGAGTTTCTCAGCCGACCCGATTTTGCGACCTCCATTTTCATGCTTGACCCATGGTTAGAGATGAACCCTTTTTGTGGCTCATGAGGGGTCGAATGCGTTTGAAAACAATGAGACTGCTTGAGGAAGGTTGTTACCAATGCCCATGCAAAATTTCGACTGTTTATTTATTGTTGATTCAGAATTATTGACAAAAAAGCATGGCTGGTACCTGTCAACGAACTTTTGAGACACCCTGTATGGCCGACGTCGGTGAGCCGAACTGGCTCGAGAGGATCAGACTATGACAAACTGGTTTGAGGAGGATTATAATGTTTCCAACTGGTTTGTGGTTACCTGTGGTAGAGCGCTAGTTTCGGCACCGTCCTCCAGCGCCGGATCACCTTACACAGGCCGCTGGGGAATACTCACAGCTCTCTGCCAAACTCAGCTGTGTAATTTCAGGCTTTTAATTCAAAGTCTTGTGACAAACTATTCTTCTATGGATAACAAGTATTGCAATAGTTTGCTCAAGTTGTGTAGTTATCGGGATAGTTTAAACATCCTCATAACATTTCGCTGAAGACATTTACGTGGGATTGCCGTAAACTACGTCAAGATGCACATTGTTTCAAGTCCTTCTGGAATCCGGACGTTTAAGAGAAGTCATTTCGTCCCTATTTCACCAGATCAGAGCCTCCCGCTCCCCTCGGCTGCGTTCGCCATTGAAGCGACCCGGCTGCGTTTGTCCGAGCTCTGATTGATGTTCCGGTTGTCCGGCGGCCGTCAGAGGAGGCGGTATATTGTGCGGGTTTTCCGCGCTGTTGGTCCGTCCACAGCCGTTTGTTGTGCTCAGGGTTGGCATTTCTGCCGGCAAAAACTAGTTAATGCCATTTGCCGGTTTAAACCGGTTTTAACCGGCAAAAAGTGGCAAAAACTGGCAAAAACTAAAAAGTATCACAATGCTATGCCTAGACATGAATTTGAACATGAAATATTTTGAGGAGAATTCGGTGAAAGCTTTATGCTTTCAAACAGAAGTGACATTGACCATTGAAATGCTTCATACGTAACTCAGAAACATTTTCATAGACTATCCATAAGGAGCGTAAGATGCCTTTTGGAGGTGACAAATGAGCCAGTGCAAGGGTGACTGGGTGAATCATGCACAATCAGAAGTGCGAAGGGGCATCTGCCACTGATATGCGCACGACGGCACCACATGGCACCCTACTTACCGTGGCCGCCTTACCCCACTCTCCCCTTACATGGAAATACATTCCGTTGTGGATGTCTACCGGCATGCATAGACAGTTTAAGCAGGGATAAGTAATGAGGCAACTTCAGAATGTTTAGTGCATCTATATAACTACCAGAAATACATTTGTACAGTTCAAATCCCTTCCTAACTAGAAAAGTTGTAGGTTTGACCATCTGAGTTTTAGCCAGTTTTTGCCAGTTCTTGCCACCATGGTTTCTGCCAGCCGGTTTAAACCGGTTAAAACCACTGGCAAAAACCAGTTTTTGCCACCCCCTGCCAACCCTGGTTGTGCTCCATCTGTCAGAATCTGTCTCCGGGTCCGGTTCAGCGCATCGGGTGCTGTGGGCTGACCGCTGCGGGCTCCGGCTGAATGTGTACCACAGGCCATACCCGGGTGTCTTCGAGGCCCTGTCTGCAAACCACCTCGACGACCATATGGTGACGATTGTCGCCGCCGTCCGTCCGGACTGACCCCGGAGATAGCCGGAGGCGGCGGCCGCCCTGCCGCCGGGTCAGTCTGTGGGCCCAGCTGCCGGCTCGGCGCGGCCCTAACCTCGTCACGGACCGGGCTTCTGTCAGCCAACACTGGCTATCGGCGAGACGTCTGACGGCGGATGGTCGTCCCGACCGACCCATTCCGGTTATATAGAGACAGCGGCAGGCTTTGACGTTTTCTTTATCTTTTTTTTTTTTTGTTTTTTGCTCGGGTGTCAGCGTGTACTCGTAACATGAGTCTGCAATTTCTCAGTGTTAATCAATGGGTTGTTGTTGGCGCTATTTGTGTCTGTGTCTACTTGTCTGGTGATGTCACTCGCTAGCAATGCTGCCGTTGGGCACTGCAATAAAACTGCATACAGTGTGCAGCACTCCACTGTGTACTCGTATGTCGAACTGAGTGACGTCCTTTGTGCCGTGTATTATTACCCTTGTATCTACTTGAGTTGCTCTTGTGTGATGTGCTGTCCAGCATTGTCCGTGTGACTAATCTGACCGTGCTGGTATCGCGTAGTTATTTTCCCTCTAACCCGGTCACCCCTGCCGGTACCACTGGTGGGCCGTGACTGTGTACCCTCTCTGACGTGACACCCCTGTGTTTTACAGCACTACTGGTGGGCCGTGTCTGTGTACTGTACCCTCTCTGACCTGACCTGACCCGACCCGACCTGACCTGACCTGACCTGACCTGATACCCCTGTGTCTGACAGCACTACTGGTGGGCAGTGTCTGTGTATATATGTTACAGGCAAAGTGAAAACTCGGGCATTTTGCAAAATGCCTAGGTAATTTGCAAAATGCCTGACCGGCCAGGCATTTTGCAAAATGCCCAGGCAGTTTGCAAACTGCCTGACCCACCAGGCATTTTGCAAACTGCCTGAAATATTTTCCCAGGCATTTTGCAAAATGACTGACATCAAACTCGCACTAGCGACGATGTATAGGTAAGCATCATTTGTAACTGCCGCTTACAAAAGTTAATCGCTGTCAATGCGCACCAAGTGAGGGGACACTGCGTTCTCCGGGTAGCGCCGCCGAGTTCAGGTCACTGAGCCCCAGCGGCCGTCGGGTGCCGAGCACCGGGCGTGGTTTCGTGGGTAAACATGCGCTCGGTACAATGATTGTACTGTTTCTAAGAGCTCTTGGTGGCTTTTTGGAAATACTATGGGTGGATATTGATCAGAAAAGAATACTCCTCCAATTTACGAAAATTTAATTGTTACACGTTTAGGTACATTATCAATCGTCTCTGCCGGAACAGCTGCCCACCAGGGCAGAATACTGGACATCGCAGCTTTTATACACACGGCTACAACTCCGCATATACGAAAGGTACGGAGAAGGTCGCTCAAGTCCATTCAGCGTTGGCTCCATCTCGACAGAATTGACGCAAAACGTATAGGTATACAGAGTGTCACGAACTTGATACGCGGTTGGCGCGGTCTTGTCCCTACATGTCCCTCCTGAGTGCTGAATGGATGTAATTTTAACGGGTCCGGCACCAGAGCATCTGGTCCAGGGCACTCGGCATCTAAATCGGCCATCCCCCGGTATCTGAAGATTTTACCCTGAAGCTGAAGCCGCTCAACATCAGGCTGCAACCCTGACTTACCGTCATCCATAAGTGATGCAGCTGGATTTCGACAAAACCCACCAAATCTGGACCATTCAGGACTAGATATTCAGACTTTTCAATGATGAGGCCATGAGGTGATATTAGCCGTTTTCACGACGGCCATCTGGTACACATTTGGTTCACATCTGGTGTAGATTAGGTGCATATTTGGTCAAATTAGGTTCAGTGTGTCTCTTAGTAGCTATCAGCTAGGGTTGTACTAATTGCTTATATACCTCCTTTGTCATATTATCAGAGAGCATCATCGGTTAAAACACTGAAATAAATTCATAAAATAAAGATATTTGCTGTAAAAGAGATTAAGGTGCAGATTTGGTCAAATTGGGTGCACTCGCCGGATAGCCCGTCGTGAAAACGGCTATTAAAGCTCTTCTTAGTCACTAACCGTCCAGACAACCAGTTCTGGGCCAACAGCAGCTCAGAGGCACTGCGCCGTCGAGACGGTGAAGCACCCACTGGGCACTGGGGATTCTCGTTTGGGGCATGATGGGCTACAGAGGCCTATTTGAGCTTCACCAGGTGCCGCGGGGACAGACCATGTGGCCGCTGATAACTTGTCAGCGAGGTGCTGGAGAACACTGACGCAACTATACGATGCAATACATTTCGGGACACCAGTACAACATCCCGCAACAATTTCGTGACACCCGTATTCGTGACCGTGGAATGTGTCAATGTGAACACAACACATGTGAAATGTGTTGTGGGGTCAGTCACAGTGGAACGTTTATGATCAACGGCTGTAGTCAACAAAAACGGTGGAATATATGGAAACCCAGGCATTTTGCAAAATGCCTGGCGGGTCAGGCATTTTGTAAAATGCCTAGGCAGTTTGCAAAATGCCTGGTGGGTCAGGCAGTTTGCAAACTGCCTGGGCATTTTGCAAAATGCCTGGCGGGTCAGGCATTTTGCAAATTGCCTAGGCATTTTCCAAAATGCCCGAGTTTTCACTTTGCCTGTAACATATATACTGTACCCTCTCTGACGTGACGCCCCTGTGTCTGACAGCACTACTGGTGGGCCGTGCCTATGTACCCTCTCTGGCCTGACCTGACCTGACACCCCTGTGTCTGACAGCACTACTGGTGGGCCGTGCTGCTGATGGCCGTGGCCTTCGTCGTGGTGATGGCGCTCTTCATCCGGTGTTGCGCCGTACACACGCCCTCGTCCAACCCCAAACGGGCGCCGGCCAGAAAGTTCACGGATACGCTCAAGCATCCGATGGATACGCTCAAGCGACAGCACGTAAGTGGGGCTCTTCACACAGAGGAGGTACCGCAGGCCGTCAGCCGTCGAGCGCGCTGCTGTTGCTTGGTAACGCAGGGTCGTAGACGCGAGGTGGTAACAGGCTAGGGTCTTTAAACCGCCTGTGAATTTCCGTAATGGCCAAAAGTAATATCGCCAGGCCGTGAAGTGTGCAGTTCCGCGGGTTTTAGTGCTTTAGATTTTGTTAACTGGTTGTATTTGCTGAAAGTGTTGATTTTAGATACTACCACATGCCAGTTTCGGTAGAAGTCAGGTAGTTACTATTACGTAGATAAATATGGTGGTTTGAAAAGGTGACGTCAAATGTCAGGACATTTGTAATAGCGCTAACACAAAATGACACCCAAATCGATCCTGCTGGGAAATCAGCGGATGAAATAGGCCTATTATTATTTCAAAGATCTCACCTTACCATCAATCTCAAACAGGTGCCAATGGTGAAAGGGCGTGTGCTTTGAGTGCGGATACGCCGGGCGTTATTTTTAGCTGACGGAAACCAGAAACACACAGTCATTCTGACTGCAGTTATTTGCTAGCCTTGAGCGTTACCTGGTGGCATTGTATGCTGTATGGTCCTTAGGAGCGTCCGGTCGGAGACTCGCGATTCTAGGACGACCCACCAGCCGCGACTGCAAGAATGGCATTGTGTCCTGTCTTGCCACCTAATTGTACAAGACCAAACATTGGCATTTTCTATTGATTACTTCGGTTGCTCCAGTCGAGTGGCCTTCTTGGTCACGACTCACGAGTGTTTATTTTTCCTCGAAGGGTTATTTGATTCCTAGCTTGCAATTCCGTTCGCTTGTTTGGCTTTAGCGACTCCATACGAAAAGGTAAAGAAGCGACAAACAACCGTTACATAAACCCAAGGACTTTTGCAGGTTTTTCACTGGGATTCTTTAGGTTGGTGACTTTTACTTTGGTAGCCAAACACGCTTTTATTCGAATGTGTGTGCGCCCACAAATGCAAGCCGCACCGGGCGCTCGACAATAACGAGTATTTAGCGATATTATGCCTGCCCCAGGGAGGACGCGGTGCTTTTACCTGGACCGCGCTCGGCGGTGCCGCAGTGCTCTCAGGCAGCCGCTCGGTCGCTCGTTTGGTGCACGACCCGCCTACTCGACGACCTGTATTTAGAAGCCGACTGCCGGCATCTGGTGTGGCCGGAAACCAGCGGCCGTCTCGGCCTGGTCACCAGTCGTTACAGGCCCCCGCCGGCCCGTAACTTTTCATAGCTGACACGGGCCAATTTGTGCGCCTCTCTGGGTGGCTCGCCGGCCGTCTCAGCGGAGACAGTCCATCTTGTCGTGAGGCCCGTGCGGAAGACGACCTGCAGGGTCAGAGGGCCCGGTGTCGAGCGCTGTCATCTGCTGCTGCGACTCGCGGTGACGGGGGTCAGAGCAGTAGTTTAAGCACGGTTGTTGACAGTGCAGGGGTGTGAGCTTGGGAACAGCCCCGCCTCAGGCGCGGTCCGGGCTGTATTTCTCCCGAAACCCCGACGGCGTCAGTCAGTGACGGAGCGACTGTGCCGCGGCGGAACGGTGGCTATTTGCCCCCGAGTCGACGGCGAAATACCGTCCGCCGATTGCGGGAAATTGCTCCGCGCCTGCCGCTGATGGCTCTGCAGCAGCCATCAGACCAACGACTCTGTAGAAGGGATAGACTTACCTTTTTTCTTTCTGATCAGACGTGCGCTGAGACCGCTGCGAAAATGTGATAACGTTTTTTATCATTATACTTTGAGCCAAAAATGTACGCACTGCTTACCCATGCTGTCTGGCATTACAAAATAAAATGGCGCATGATTTCATCAGCAATGCGGCGATGAGTACTCGGAAAGCGTTCTGGCTTGGTATGTCACCAACTCGCTTGGCGATGTGAACGGGAATGAACTCTTCCAGGACCCTGCGCTCATCTCTTCTTACTGATATAGCTATCACAGCACTCTACCCACGGCATCTGTGGCTGTGACAGATTTCTACTGTCGGCACCCGTTACTCTCACAAATTTCTACCGTCGGAACTAGAGTTGCAAAGTTTCCCTACCGCATTACCGGCATGCCGGTAATTTTTCACTACCGCAGGTTTTTTTGTGGTATCTGGCATGTCTTGCCGGTAGCATGCCGGTATTTTTGGTTTTGCACAAAAAAAAATATTAGCATATGATTCAAACTTTGGACACTAAGAGGAAAATGTGGCAATTCTTGTAGGGGTAAACTGGAATCAACAATGCAGGTTTTTTTAGTATGCCGGTAGTTAGGTGGTGTTTTTGCTTTGGGCGTGGTAGCATGCCGGTATCCCCCCAAAAAATTGTGGGGCGGGGCGGTGCCGGTAGCAGCCTTTGGGGGAAACTTTGCAACTCTAGTCGGAACCTGTGGCTCTCATAGATCTCTACCCTCGCGACCTGGGGCTCCCAATGCTCTACCCGCCGCACCCGAGACTCCATGTTATATATCCTCGCTACCTGGGGCTCCCAATGCTCTACCGTCGGCACCTGTGGCTGTGACTCTCACCGCCTTCTGCCCGCGGCACCCGTGCGCTCAATGCTCTGTGCCAGCCTGATTGGATTGGTCGCCTGAAGGAGTGGGCCGTGCCGTCCGGCTGGATTCCATTACCAGTGGGACAGATGTAGCCAGCGGTGGCCGCTCCCCGGCGGTCCTTCTCTCCGTCCGCGGGTGACCATCTCTCCTAGTCTCCACGTCTCTTTCTGTGACTATGTCTCTTTGAGCCCATGTGAAGTGTTCAGTCCATCTCTCTCGTCCTATGAGAGATGGACTGAACACTCCGTGAGTTTCCTCAGCTGCTCCGTGAGTTGCCTCAGTTTCCTCTCTACTCCGTGAGTTGCATCAGCAGCCCTCTGCGTCTGTGGGTCTGATTCCTCCTTCCCTGTCCGATCATACGGTCATAGTTGGGCCGCGGCTGATGCCCCTCCGCCGTCTTATTACCAGCGGCATTCGATGCGCGCATATTACGTCGGCTGTGCGTATTCTGGTCGGTGGCGGTGCGTATTCTGGTCGCCGGATCGTTGCCCATTGATGGCCGGCACTTGATTCGATTGCGTCGCACGCGCTCGGCGGAGGATTAACACACGGGGGGGGGGGGCGGTCTGAGCTGACCGGCGTCGTTATGAGAGCCGGCCGGCCGGCGCAGACAGCGGCCACACAGCAGATCGGCCGTAATGATCCGGCCTGATTGCGGAGCTGTCTGAGGAGGGCGGCGCTGGCTCGGCGCGATCGTGCGGAACAGCCCCCAGAGAGGCGGCGACGGGCGGCCAGCGCCGAGTTTTGGAGCGAGATAACTTCTACACTCCGTCTGGGGCGGCTCGTTCAGACTCGGCGTTCCGCGCGAGACGGTCGGTGGAGAGGACTAGAGCGACTAGTGACCAGCGATAGACGGTCTCGGGCGGCAGTATCGAAATAGTATGTGACGTATTTGATTAACATCCCATCATCGTTTTATCAATTACCAGGTTGGACTAGTCGTTTTTAGAAGAAGTTAGTGTCAAGTTTGTAACCGTTTCAGAACTCTTCTTTGCATGAAATTCGGACGCCATACGTACTGTTGATGGACAGTCTGTCTTAAAAGTACCGCGCAAAGTGGCGGTGGATCCATCAAGCCTGACCGAGAAAGGGTTTGCTTTAATTTGAAAATCACCGACCAATTGACCTAGGGAATGGACGAGGATGTCAGTTGCTTCGGTGACCCAAATTTAGCAGGTCCTTCCTCAGTCAGGCTCGATGGATCCACCGTCACTTTGCGCGGTACTTTTAAGACAGACTGGACATAGTCCTCCAGGTCCTAAATCGATTATATATCTTGCTCGTACAATAACTACGATATAGAAAGCTACTTGTCAATTTATTTATTTTTTACTGGTGCTATTTCCTTAGAGTTGATTGATTGACAACGCTCATTGGAATTTGGATTTGTCTTCGTGATGTGCATGTTTTGTCCAAAATTTGACCTTCTTTGTCAGGCTGACAGCTTCAGAAACAAAGTTCCGCTCCATGGTCCCAGTGCAGGAGAGTTCATTACTGTAAGTTGCTCATAGATGTTTCTGGCGGGCGTCTGGGTCTCGGCCTCGATGCTACTAAATCATAGTCATGTCTGTTTGTAGCTAGCTGAGGGTATACATTTCTAAAAGGCAGAGCCAATATCCATCATCTGCATTGGCTGAGGCCTCAACACCCAGCAGAAAAGTCCCGAGAAACTGCGATACGGCCGGCGGGCCACGCCGTACATCATGAGCACGGGCGCGAGACGTATCTGCAAGCCATCGTGTATTGATTCATGGCGGAAATGCTGCCGGCTGGTGTAGTCGGTAATCCGACAGTGACGTACGGTGGCGACCTTTGGCGCTGAAGGCCTAGTGCCAATAATGCTGACTGGTGGAAAGTAGCCGGTAAATTTATTGAGGGAACGGTTTCAGCCGGGGAAATAGCATCTTTCTTCGTCGAATCGCGTTAAGCTGTCAAGGTTGGATTTTGTTAGTTTTCATATGAGGAGGATGAGATGAATCGTTTGATGGACGTGAAGCAGCTACCCGGCGTTTGTGCATGAGACTTCCGTATCTTTTTTGATGAGTGCTTGCTCTGATTTGGCCTCTTCTATCAAAGCGTATCACATAAATGAGAATGAGATTTCAGCAGAATTGAGCCACGCGTCTAATTTTGAGAATTATTCATCCATTCGGGTGGGTTTACATAATTCGGCAGCCTGGTTAGCAGTTGTTGACTCACCAGTTGCAGATTAGCTCGTAACCTAATCATTGCAGTGTGTTCTCCGTATTACTATCCGAATAATAGATGAAATGATGGATCTGATCGGATCGGACGTGGGCCGAGCGTTGATGCGTCGCTGAACTGGATCACTGCAGTGACCTGAATTGGACCACTGCTGTGGTGCAGTGCTGATTAACAGACTTATTTGCATACGAACCTCGGAATACTGTCATTCCAGGACGTAAATGATTCGTGTCGTCGCCCTTCTCTCGACCTCTATTCACAACACAATAAATCAGTTTACTTGATATGCCTAATAATTCAGTCTCGGCTGGGTCAGTGAGTATGTGCCCGGTCTATTGCGATATAACACCAACTTGCAGCAAGTTTATTTTTATGCCTAAATTCAGAGCTGACTGACAGGCCTGTTTGCGGGTCCGCTCGTTTGTATTTGGTGTGTGTGCTGACTGGCTCTGTGACTCTCTGTTACAGCGGCATCCCCGGCGAGGGGGCGGCGGCGGCGGCGCCCGCTCCGTCCCGGTCCGGGAGGAGGCAGAGCTGGTCGTACAGAGCAGTAACAGCGGGGGGAGCAGCAGCGGCGGCGGCGGCGGGCGGCCCGGCCGAGCCACCGGGCCGCCGCCCGCCTACCAGCCGCAGGCGGGACCCGTGAGACACGGGTTCGGCGCCGGGCGCGGCCACTACAGCCGACAAGGTGAGAGTCGCGACCAGAGTCGCCGGGTCCCTCTCAGCGCCGAGTCGCATACAGACCCGACTGCCGTGGGCACAGCCGCGTATAACTTTAGCATATCTCGGGCAGTTTTTGTCGCATTTCGATCCTGTCGGTAGCGTAATGCACCCAGACTATACATAGCCTCTAAGTGAGGCCGGCCGAAGCAACAGGCGGAGGCGGAGGCGGTGGCCGGTAAATTTGTCAGCACGCCCCGTCGGCCGCACGCGTCGCTCGATGGCGCTCGGCGTCGCGGGCCGGTCGGCCGGCCGGCACAGGCTGCTATTTGCGGAGGCCGACGGCGCGCGCCGAGCGTACATCATTGATACGACTGGCGGCCAGAGGCGGCCCGGATCGCGATGGCATATTAATAACGCTCGTCAGCGAAAGGCGACATGCTGTTTGGCCACTCGATAGTGGATCACGGCCGGGCGGCGGAGGACCGGCCGGCCGGCCGCTGTTCTCGTGGTCGCGTGAGCGGGCCACTGCGTGTTCCGGGGCGTCAGCGAGCGGCTCTCATTTGTAGAGCACGCGCCGCCCATGGCGTCTCCGGAGCGTGGTCACGCTCAAACACGCCGGTGACTCGGGTGTCACGAACGCCACTCGTGCGTCACGGAATGGACGCTGTTCGGCTAATGTACTGGCACTAATCGCACATCCAACATGACGGCTTACAAAGAACCGGGCGACTCAGGACTGCGTGAAACCGCTGTTTGCTCAGGACGGCTGGCTCATCATTTTTACCGAGGCATGTGGGCTCGCTCCGACATGAATCACTAACGTTTTCTTCGTCGAAGTTGCATTATATATGATCCTTCGCGCGTCTGCTTGCGGACTACTTTATTTAATGACCGTTACTCTAAATTAGGGAAGCATGTGTCAAGCTAAATGGACATAGATCGCGGTTATGTCGCGTTTATTGGTGCACATGGCTCTGAATTTCCGGCTGATATTGCAGCGCTGTCACATGCCACCACCCACACTGTGCGTTGACCGGTGTATTTTGGTGTGAAGTGCTATTAGTATGTTTGACATATACCGCGGCAACGAGCCGCGTTGTCGACATTTATCCTGCCTTTTAGGTCTGTGAACTCGCACAACTTCGGAATCATTTCTTTACATTTTTATTTATTTTGCTGTTACTGGCCTGACTTGCAGGGTTGCTCGCACCACGGCGGTGGCCTGACCTGGTCGCTAATCTGACCTGGCCTGACCTGACCTGACCTCTCTCTGGACAGGTGCGCGCGATGACGTAGAGTCGGGCGGCGCCAGCGGCGGCCGGGCCGCCGAGCGGCAGCGCCAGCAGAAGCAGCAGAAGCAGCAGAAGCGGCGCTCGCAGGGCACGCCGGCCACGCGGCACGTGTGACCTCGGCCGGGCGCGCCGGCGGCCGCCACCCTGCCGACCGCTGACCGCTGACCCGGCCGGCACGCGGCCGCGCACCCTACAAACGGACAGAGTATATTCAAATCAAACCGGCGGCGCGGCGCCGCTCTTAGGACTGGCGCCGCGCGTCGCGTGTGCGCGCGAGATCTTCCTGGGTGCGTCGGAGGTCGGATGTGATACTGAGAGGGCGCGCCGCTGTGCCGGCGGCGCGCCCCACCCCGCGAACGCGGCATTATGCTTACTCGTGCGCGCGCCTGTATGAGCGTGAGTGTGTGTGTGTGTGTGTGTGTGTGTGTGTGTGTGTGTGTGTGTGTGTGTGTGTGTGTGTGTGTGTGTGTGTGTGTGTGTATGTGCATGTGGAAATCCCAGCGGCGCGGCGGTGACGGCGTGCAGTCTGGACTGACTGGGTGCTACCCACAGATTGAGTCGGTCCAACCCCGCCCGCTGGCCGGCTTATCCCCGGGCATTTGTGGGAACAACTCTTGGCAGCCGCCGCAGCGCTTAGTTCGGTCGGCAGCCTCCGGTGCAGATAACTTTTTTGTTACTCTTTTGCCGAAGCTATCTCATTTTAGCTTTCCGACATGCTTGCTGATCTGTTGATCTTGTACGAGCCGTTGTTTTGGTTGATGTTTTTAGAAGATACCTTTAACATGAATCGGAGAATGATATGGTCCGAGCGAGGCGCGCGTGCTCTCTTTTGGACGTGATCATGTATTGTTATGCCGCTAAGGTCATTGCTCCTGCAGCGCCATTGTTCACGGTGGGTGACCCATGGGACCGTGTGGGTGTGCGGCGGCCCAGTATCTCAGCTGATGCTCCCTGGGGCAGCGCGGGTCGGTGGCGCTCCCCTTGCGGCGGCGCCGACCCCGTGCGGCCCGCCCCGCCCCTGTCGACAGTGCGTGTGTGACTCAGCGGGCACCTGTGCGTGTGTGTGGCGCGAGAGCAGAGTGGGTGTGGGGGCGGCGCGCGGTCGATGGCTATTACCTCTCTGTGCGGCCGCCGGCGGTGGACGTCGTCATTATTTCCGCCTGTCGCGCTGACGGCGGCCGCCGGCGTCACCCGCAGGCGACGCCCGGCCGCCGCCGACCTGTGTTGCTCTGCGCGACCTCGTTTGCGTCTCGCGGTGCGGGCTCGGCCGCCGCCGATCCGTCGCGGGCGCTCGTCTGCCGTCGTCCGGGCTCCCGAGACCCCCAGTCCACACCCAAGTGGCCTTGTGTATCATCACCGTGTCATATTGATTTGCGTCGATCGAGCGGGCGTGCGGGCGGCGGGCAAGGCCTCTCCCGGGGTGGGGAGGTAGCGCCGGAAAGTCGTGTCCGCGCGGCACGGCAAGGCTCGACGACCCCGGCCCGGAGTCGCCTGTAACGGGAACACTGGCACACGGCTCGGCACCCGACGCGTGACGCCGGATACGGGCTCATCTGGGTCTCATCTATGTAAACGGCAGCGGAAATGACCAGCGACCTCGGCCGCCTGGATGCCGGAGCCGCAGTTCCTCACGGCACTAAATAATTCCAGCGGCGAGCTGAACAGAGCGGGGCAGCCGTGTGTCAGTGTTCTCGACGGCTCTGGGCCCGCAAAGCCGGCGTAACCTGGAGGGCTCACCCCGGGGTACCGCCCGGTGGGGAGAGGGTTGGTTTCGACGTACCGGCAGTATGAGCTGAGAGTGTGAGAGGGAGAGAGAGTGGCGGAGACGGCCCCGCGTGTTTGCCACAGTCGCCGGCGGGCAGGTTGCCGATGCACTCATCTGTCTCACTGTACTGTATGTATATGATAAGTTGTGTAATAAAACTCTACCGAATCGTCCATCATGCTCGAGTGTCAACTACCATCAATCTTCAGAGTTATGGTTGGTTTTCTGGAGATAAATGCCCTGCGAGAAAATATCCTCTTAGTAGCGGTGGCGGAAAGTGAAGCTCTTTCTTGAGCGAGGTGCGTTTATTTTACACGCCATGGTGCTCTTCACGGCTCTCCACGTCGCAGATTGAAGCGTATAAAGCCAAGATTGTGGCCGTCAAAGCTTATAAACCGTCGCTCAAGTGGGTAATTTTGCGCGAGCGAGTGCCACCGGGCTGCTGAAGCACCGTGGCCGGAATCCATGAGCGGCAGACGCTCGGTTTGAGCCCTCACATCAGCTCGGCGAGCGTAGAAACAGCCGGACGCGGCCGTCCATCATATCCCCGCCGCCAATGTGTCTACTGCATCTGCTGTAGGCGTGCGGCACGTGCCTTCTGATGGGCGCCAGGGTGTCTGCACTCTGCAGTTCCCGTCACGCCCACTCTCCTCTCTGCAATGCAGCTCGGATGTGATTTGCGCCGCCTCTGCAGCAGTTCTGACGGCTCGGCTCGCTCTCAGGCCACACGTGGCTCTCGATTCCCGGCAGGCTTGAGCGTCTGAGAGGCTACAAATCCCCGAACTTTGCGCATTTTCAGGCCGGTCAGTGTGGCAACTATCGGTTGATTTGGTCCGATACGACCGAACTGCAGTGCGATATTGACGCGCTGAGAGCCGATGCTGTCGAATGCAGTCTCCTTCCGTCCAGGCCGGTCGGAATGACGGCTGGTCTGGGAAGGCGGACAGCTGGTCTGGAAAGACTGACCAATGACGGCTGGTCTGGTCAGGCGTACTAGTGACGGTCTGGTCAGACGTACTAGTGACTGTCTGGTCAGACGGACGGAGTAACGGCTGGTCTGGTCAGACGGACGGAGTAACGGCTGGTTAGACAGACGGACGGAGTGACGGCTGGTTAGACAGACGGACGGAGTGACGGCTGGTTAGACAGACGGACGGAGTGACGGCTGGTTAGACAGACGGACGGAGTAACGGCTGGTTAGACAGACGGCTGATGATCAGGGCGTCCCCGTCACCAATTTTAGCTGCTTTCTCTCTGATGCCTACAGGAGAGCTAGACGTGATCGTAGAATCTCCCAGAATCTCCCGACCCTTGCACGTCAAGCGTATGTTCGGAGTCTTTGGGTACCTAACTATGGCTCAGTGACGTGTCAAAAGAAGATTGATTATAAGAAATGATCTGTTTGTTATTCATCACTATCTCTGAGACAATTTCTGTATATAGGTGTCGATCTACATGGGACTGGTGGGTAGGGCCCACGCCGTTAACCCGCGCCCGGCTGGGGGTCCTGGATTTCCACGCCCTGCAGCTGGGGGGGGGGGGTTTGAACACCCCATCTAACTCGGCTCCTGGGCCACGTAGCGATACGCGGAAGGCGGCGTTCGAAAGAGCGTAAAAAATAATGAGGAAATCACTTCGGTTAATTTTTTGGTCAGGTCAGAGGTCAGGTCACCAGAGGTCATTGAAGGCAAAATTTCGCCGATTTCCAGGTCGAATGTCAACAGTTTCCAAGAAGCCAACGCATAACTCGGGAACCAATAGAGCTACAGCGCCGCGGAAAAGCGCATTCGATAGCCCTATTAACGCCCTTTCTGAATAATCTTCTCAGATTTGACCTAACGTCAACGGTTTTGCCTGCAGGGGGCAAAAACTGCAAAAATAGCCGATTTTTTCGGAAAAAGTTTTTCTGCAATAACTATTGACCCAAGCCTTGTACGAGCTTACTTTTACCGGCATCGTGTTCCTCTCGTCAAGACGCATCAAATGAACTATAACTTGACCTTGAAAGGTCAACTTGAAAATTTGACCTCAGGTCAAGGTCATGACCTGACCGGAAAGGGTCATGTTGCATATCAGTCGATCCGTATCGTCGATCTGAACACATCTAAGGCGTTTTCATCGCTCTAGCATGCCTCTATCAAAAGTTATTTGCGAAAAACTGTTAGATACCATTCGTGACCTAAGATGACCTCAGGGCATAAACAGGGGTCACGGACACCATTTTCATGTTCAGTGTGTCTAAACCACTTGTAATTCAGTGTTTGGGAGTGTTTATAATGTCTTTCGTTCAAAAGAGGCGCATTTCAATTTTCTCCCATTGACTTATAGGGGCATTCCACGTCAACCCAGTAAACATGCCGACGTCGGCCCGACGTCGGCCGACGTCGGGGTGACGTCGGCAACTCGGCATGGGCATGCCGACGTCGGCCCGACGTCGGTCCAACCTCGGCACGACGTCGGCTGGATGTCGGATATGCCCGCATGTTCCGACGTCCAGCCGAGGTCCAGCCGACGTCGGGCCGACGTCGGACCGAGATCAATTGCTGAGGTCCAGCCGACGTCGGGCCGACGTCGGGGCGACGTCGGACCGACATCGGCCGCTGTTTTGACCGTTAAATAATATAAAATACATGTTTCGTGTTTCATAAAGAGCTTCTGTATTCAAAATATCCTCAGGAAACTCAAATCTTCCTCCACGCCGCAACCCCCTGATCCGGACTGGACGGGAAACTTTATCCCATTTGGAATTGCCCGTAAGCCGAGCTCGCCCGTAGCCGGGTGCGGTGAGTGCTTGGGGGCTGCTCGGCCTATCCTTTGGTCAGGCTCAGCCCCGGCAACTCACCAGGGCCGGACCCAGTTCGTATAGAAAGGCCAGTCGGCAAGTGTCACTTTGCCAAAGTGCCACTTATCAAAGGGACACTTTGGGAAACGTTGGTGCAGGTGTGTAAGAGTGGCTATATGAATCCATTGTGGGGTCGCCCTTTCCAATAAGTGTCACGTAACAGCAATGGGACCAGGGACTCTATATGAACTGGACCCAGGGTGCTCGCCAAGAAGACCAATGTCTCCATCCTATGATCCTTCCGGCTCTGAAATGGTCTTGTCAGACCGAAAGGGCATAACCCAACAAAACAAACCAAATTCGTTAGCTGGCTGCGTGGTGTAGTGGTTAGCGCACTAACCTCACGTTCGATTGACACGGGGTTCGAATCCCATCGCCGGCTGGTGCTTTTGGCGTGTTGTCCCAGTAAACCTGCCGACGTCGGCGACTGGGGGGCTCGAATCCCGCCGCCGGTTGATATTTTGGGCGCGTTGTCCCAATAAACATGCCGACGTCGGCCCCATCGGTCCAACGACCAACGATCTCGTCAACCTCGGCAAACGATCTCGGCCCGACGTCGGCTCGACGTCGGCTGGACTTCGGCTGGACGTCGGAACATGCGGGCATATCCGACGTCCAGCCGATGTCGGGCCGAGGTTGAACAGACGTTGGGCCGACGTCGGGCCGAGCCTCGGCCCGACGTCGGGCCGACGTCGTCATGTTTACTGGGAAGTGAGACAAAAAATGACCATTTTGAACCTCACCTCCTCCGATTTTTGCGAAACTTTGTGAAACTACTCATCTTATATGTAAAAAGAAAGGAGACATACTTTTGTCAAGATATGACGTCACGTTTCCTAGATACACGTCATCAAACATTGACTTAGGCAAGGCACATTATCATCTTTAAAGCGTCATACCCATTGAAGTTTTAGACATATCACCATGAGACAAAGTGTGAAATGGAGGGAATAGATCAGGCTTTAATTTGAGGATTACAATATTGACGTAATTAGCTAATTAATGAACTAAATTAAAATTCAAAAAATAAATTTTGATTTTCTGAAAAATGGGTACCCTTCGATTTTGCTGATTTTTACATACCTATTTTATTCTTCCATACATTAGCTACATCTTATAAAAAATCTAGAATGGGCCGACGTCTACGTAACTGTCTTTTTGACTTCGTAATGTCTGGCACTCGCGTGTTTCGTTTTAGCAACCAAGGAGAGGCGCTACCCGGAGATGCTTCTTTCTACCCCAAACCAAAGCAAACGCAAACCTAGCGTTACCTGACGTGACCTGACCTAATCTAACACGCGTAAATATGTACAGCCCTCACGGCAGTTGCCGACTGGCCAAATGCTACTTAAATATGTACGAACATTAGCCCTCATGACATTTGCCGGCTGGCCAGATGCTAGGGGAAGTTGGGGCAATGCCGGAGTTGGGGCAAAGCCGAAATTCGAGATATTTCTAAAACCATACGACATGGATGCCACGTCTCAGTGATGCTCTGAAGCTTAAGTGACTACAATTATCGCATGTTTGTTACGAGTCGTTATTTGGAATACTTCGGCTGTGAGGGCGCCAAAAGCGTTTTCAAGGTACGTTTCTCTTGTACTACATGCGCCTTTGAAGCTGCATTTCTTACTCATTATGCTACCGTTTGTCTGGCCAATTCGGTCAAGTAATCTTCAGCATGTCTTTGCATAAGTGTGCTGCCTATTTGAAATTTATACAGCTCGTTTAAAAGTTATGGGCCTGCAAATGAAAGTATGGCTGGCTGGGGTAATGCCGAAAACGTGCTATTACGCACGTTAAAGCACGCTACGTGGACTTTACTGCTGTAGAATAGCAACGCGTATTTTTAGTCAAACAAATTACACTTTCAGCCGGCACAACGGCCTGTTACCTATAAGGAATGATTTACCTGGCATTTTCTTATTATATCACACAATTGTAACTTCCAGTGTGCACCAAGCGTCCTCAAGCTCCTAAAACGCGTGTCAGCTTTGATGAATTTTGGATAAAGTTTGAGATAAATTGGCAAAACATCAATGTCGGCATTCCTCGTAGATCATTTATCCTATTTTCGGCTTTCCCCGCAGTCCGGGGCAACGCCGAAAAAGTCAGTTCTTTGATATTTTTAGTTTTTGCGCTTAACGGTATGCGAATTCATCAAATGCGCCTGGTATGTTTGAAAGACAGAAGACTGGCCTCTCGAATGACGCCAACAAGAATAGCTTATGTTGTCTACCTTGCGTGCTACGGGCGTCAGAAAAAAAGTAATCGGCGTTCCCCCAACTTCCCCTACTTAAAGGGACCCTCCCACCTTAACATTAGTTTTGAGTTGA